GGAGCGGCCACTGCACTCCAGTCTGGGCGACAGAGTGAGACTCCAACTGAAAAAGAAAAAAAAAAATTGATGAACCAGTATCAATACATTATTATTAGCTCAAATCCATAATTTACATTAGGGTTCACTCTTTGTGTGGTGTAGTATGTCAGTTTTTACAAAGATATACAGGTAGTCTCCAACATATGAATGAGTTTGGTTCCAAGAGCATGTTTCTAAGTGTATTTTTTTAAGTCCAGCAAAGTTAGCCTAGGTACCCAAGTAACACAATGAACTGTAAAGTACTGTATGTATTTAGCAGGCTATACTAACACCTGGAAGAGAGAAATGATACATAAAAAAGAACGTGTGTATCATTACAGTTCATAACTTGAAAGTTCGTATGTAGGGGACTTACTGTACTGACATCCGTTCACTGTTACAATATCAGGCAAGATAGTTTCGCTGCCTGAAAAGTCCCCACCTAGTCATCACTTCCTTCCTCCTCCTCATCTTTTTAGTCTCAAGTTTTTACTAGTTTTGTTTCTTCGGTAGTTTTATTATTTTAAAAATTCATATGTGTTTGTGAATTTTTTTTTTTTTTTTATGAGATGGAGTCTCACTCAGTCACCCAGACTGGAGTGCAGTGGCCGCTCCCAGCCACCGCAGCCTCGACCTGCTGGGCTCTGGCGATCCTTCTGCCTCAGTCTTCCAAGTAGCCGGAATTACAGGCGCGCGCTACCATGCCCGGCTGATTTTTTGCTTTATTGTAGAGATGAGATCTTGCCAAGTTGTCCGGGCAGGTCTCGAACCCGTGGGCTCAGGCAATCCACTCACCTCTGCCTCCCAAAGGCGGGGCATTACAGGCTGAGCCACCAAGCCCGGCTTGAATTTTTTAAAAATTCAAAATAGACATGTATAAGAGAGAAAGTAGGCTTTCCTTCCCAATCCTCTTGCCTATTCCCTCCAGGTAACACTGTAAGACAAAGTTTTTGCAGGGCATGATGGCTCACGGCTATAATCCCAGCACTTTAGAAGGCCGAGGTGGGAGGATTGCTTGAGCCCAGGAGTTTGAGCCCAGCCTGGTCAACATAGCCAGACCTCGTCTCTATAAAAAATTGTTGTACAAAATTAGGTCAGGTCTTCAGTGAGCCGTGATGGCACCACGGCCTGGGCAACAGAGTGAAACTGACTCAAAACAACAACAACAACAAAAAACAAAGACAAAGCTTTTAATAGTATGATTTTGGGACTAAAACAACAGCATTTGTGAATTATGTAAGAGAAATGTAGTGAGTCATTTACCATTTTGTCATAAACATTCTTTTTTTTTTTTTTTTTTTTTTG